GTACCTCGCTGGACTGTCGGGCGGAAACTGGCTCGTCACGTCTCTCGCGCAGGCGAACTTCCCCACATTCTCTGATCTGATTTTTGGGCCGCCCGATGCCAACGTGAATTCTTGGGGCGGGTGGAATACAGAAATCGATCTGCTGAATGTCAGCACGAACGCCACCGTCGAAGAGGATTACTTGATCCAGCTGGTCGAGGAGATCGTCGGGAAGTACAAAATGGGATTTCCGGTCACGGTCAGCGACGTTTGGGCGCGGACGCTCTCTCGACATTTCGTAAATGGCACGAACTTAGAGGACTTTTCCAACCCGGATCTCACCCACGGCGCGGGCGTGACCTTCTCCTCAATCGCCACCGTGTGAGTAATGTCATAGTGTATTTGTTCATTCATTAAACGTCGACTTAGAGACTCATTCGTGAACTACGAGCAGCCGTTCCCGATTGTTGTTATTGATTCGTTGTCCCCCAATGGAAATGCCTCGAACATATTGAATCAATCGGGCTTGGCGGTGCCGTTGACGAATCCTATATACGAGGTTAATGCGTGTAAGCACTGCTGTTTGATCCTATGCTGTGGCACTTTTCATATCCTATTCTAAACGCAGATGAGATGGGTTCCTTCGATCCTATGCTATCTGCGTTCACGCCGACAAAATATCTCGGGTCACCTGGAAACGGCGAGTGCGCCACTGGGTTCGACCAACTATCGTTTATTCAGGGACTGTCCTCTAATGAATTCAACTTATATAATACTTCGGTAGGCGTGATCTGTGCAGAATGATCTCGCTCGAGCTCATTGGCTGTCACAGGCGTCTGCTCTGCAGGCCTCCCCAGTGGGCGCTGTCCTCGAAGTGCTCGACGCCATCGTGCCCGAATCTGGGATCGATCTTACCGTAGGGCTGGTGCCGAATCCATTCTATGGGCAGTCACCGGAGACGTATATTGACAGCAACGAAACCTTGCTTCAGCTAGTTGATGGCGGCGAGGACGGCGAGGTGGTCCCCTTCCTGCCCTTGTTGGTCAAGGCGCGCGAGGTGGAGGTGATCTTCGCCATTGATGCGGTATGAATGTGTTCTTGCGTGTGTACGTGTATCCTTATCGCATTCGTCAGGCGGCGGATACGGAGGAAAATTGGACGGACGGTAGTTCAATCATCGTATGTTGCAATTCTCATCTGGGGGGTTACCGAAGGAAACTAACCCTTTCCGCTGTGAAGTCAACGCAAGATCGCGTCGCATTCTTCCCAAAGTCCTACTCGTTTCCCCCGGTGCCTCCCCTCCAGGCTACCTTCCTCGCGGAAGGTCTCACAAAACGGCCGACATTCTTCGGCTGCTCCAGCACCGTCGCTTCCGGTGATCCGCTTGTGATCTACCTAGC